GCTAATAAACTGAAATATTAGTAGTAGTACTACTATGTGAAAAACAGAAGTAGTATCAGAAATAGTAATACTAGTAGTAATTGTAATTTTGTACTGTGCATACCGTGTGAAGCATGGATGCTTGTACGTACCACTATGAAAGCCCGATTTCATCACTCTGTGCTTTTTGTTAGCATTTTTATGGTGATTTCCGACCATGGTTCGAACGATCTCTGTTCCTCTATTTGTTATTTGTTACATCGCACGCCGCCACCAGCAATGAGTTATATATGCTTGCATCTCATTCCCGTAACTTTATTGTTTTACCATGTTTCTTATAGTGCAAGTTCAAAGCCCTACTGGCTCTACAACTAAAATCATCCTATTGGAAAGTTTCTTCAAAATTCAACCCCCCCAGACCCCCCCCCCCTTTGCTTTGCGAACCAATTACAGTCAATGTGAGGTAATCCCCATACCGCATTCACGAGTAGCTAGTGAATAATCCTCACTCTTTATTGTAAACCACGTATTATCCTACACTAAGGAGCCTATCAACATTTCACAGGTTATGAGCAACAAAAGGACTTACCTCCGCTCGTCAACCATCATCAGCCACATAAGGAGCCTATCAACATTTCACAGTCAAAACTGTTTTAGTCTTTTTTTTATGTTTCGACTTCCATGATTGGCGATGACCTCGTGACCAGTTTTGAATTGAATCCAATGGGGCACGACTGAAGAAAGGCCCAACGTGCCGAACTTGCGCTAACCATTGCCCGTGCAGCATTCATGTAGTAGGGTACGTACCTTACAGTAAGTATGCTACGATACAAACCGCGAACCGCAACATCGTCGTACTTTTACGAGTACGAGTACGAGTATCTTACGTTACTGTAATGTACAGTACGATACCTTGCGGTACGAGTACCGACGGTATGATTGATTGATTTCTTCATAATTTCTCCCCGGCCGACGGCGAATTACCATTCTTCCTCCGACCGCATTCTTCAACATCTAAGCACAAACCGATTCAAACTTCAAACCCACCAATACAACCAATACAACCAATACAACCAAACATCCTGTTGTTCGCCGCAATGGAATCCATTGAGCATTCGCTGAGACTCAAGGACGGCAGAATCCTCGCCTACCACACGTTCCCGGGGGCAAAGGCCGAAAACGCTTGTGGAACGGGCATCGATGATCCGACAGCCGCAACCRAAGCAAGAACAACTCCCCCCGAGCGGCCCCACCCGGTGCTSTATTTCCACGGCTTCCCCGGCTGCGGGGCCGARGGGGGCGTCCACTGCGCCCGATCCGTGGCCCTTGCCGGGGGGGAGCTCTTTGCGATCGACCGGCCCGGCATGGGCAGGACCTCGAGCCCGTACGTGTCCCGGCACCCGGACGGCGAGGGGGGGAGCAACCTCTGTGCGCTCGTGGACAGCGTCTGGGAGCTGGTCRCMGACCGGGGCTGGGAGGACTTTTCGGTGATTGGTGTGAGCGGGGGCGGCCCGTACGCCCTTGCCCTTCTGGCCTCCTACCTCGAGCGGACCCGTGGCAAACCCGCAGGCAGCAACAGCAACAACAACAACAACAACAACAACAACAACAACAACAACAACAACAACAACAACAGCAACAGCAACACCAACAGCAACAACAACAACAACAACAACAACAACAACAACAACAACAGCAACATTCCCCAGCCCCACCTCCGGAACGTCTCCCTGGTCGGGGCCATCTGCCTCGCGGCCGGAACGGAGGGGATCGAGACCGGGCTGGGGTCGATCGTCCCGCTGGTGGAGGCCGCGCCTTTTTCGTTCTGGAGCCGCCTCTTCCTGCGGACCAACGCGGTCCTGGCGGGGGGCCTCTTCCGGTACCTCCTCCCGTGGGTGCCGGTGGGGTGGGYGGCGGCGGCGAACTCGTACGCTACTTCGGGCCTGCCGGCGTCGGACCGGGAGTGGCTGTCCGAACCGGGGAACCTCGGGCCCTACCTGGTGGCCCTGGGGGACATGGCGGCCCGGGGGGGATACCCCGGGATCTACGACGACCAGTCCATCGTCCTGCARCCCTTCCACCCCCACGAGGAGGTCCTCAAGGGGTTCTACGGAGGTTGCGACGACAGCAGCAGCAGCAGCCTCCCGTCGGYGGGGATCTTCCAGGGCGCGGTGGACGCCAACGTTCCGGCCTCCCACGCAAGACATCTCCACGAATYCGTCTTTTGCGAGCGATCGGAACTCTTGGTGTACGAAGGCCTGGGGCACGTGTCGCTGATTGCGGGCAAAGCGGGGGACTACTCGTCGTTCGCAACGAAGCCATGAAACGAAACGAAACAAACAAAACAACAAAGTACAACTACAGTAGACTATAGTGAAGTAAAGTAAAGTAAAGTAAAGTAAAGTAAAGTAAACTAGTTGTAACGAAACTGTGTAAATTGGTTCAGTAATTAGAACCACACCCACGAACCAAATCGAGTGATTCGAACCCACACCAAGCCAGTGTGCATTCGTTTGTTTTGCGCTGTGATTTTTGTGCCGTTATTTTTTGCATCGAAAAAATTGCCAACGAAGAGACAGATAGATAAAGAATGCCTCACATCTACTAGAAACCTCCTGCGACGAGAGAAAAACGAGGCTCTGACGCAATAGCTTTTTCAATCTGCCATTTACTACKGTGCAAATGCAAGGTTCGAATCAACGACTTGCGAGTGAAATGTTCATCGTGGACTAGTCTTTTGTCTTTGTGATATATTTTTGTAAATTATCAATCGGAAAGCATTGCATGTTTGGAACCAAAAAAAGGTATAAAGAAACACGATGCTTGCATCATGAAATGACCGGGTAAACTATGGAATCGTTTGACACTACTACTTTCACTGCACGTTATACGATCGCACTACTAGGCCTTAGTCATAGTATCCGCCAATAGTGGTACCACTCAGTAGTAGCACTACCAATACTAGCCAGCTGCTAGACAGCGGCTTTGCTTCGGATTGTTCCGCACCGGCCGATCAGATCCCGTCGTACCCGTCGTCGTAGCCGTCTCCGCCCAGCTGCCCCTTGACCGAGTCCTGGTTGTAGTACATGTCCAAGACCTGGTCGCTGCTGGTGGCCTGGTCCGGCCGCTTGTCGTCCCGGACGCGCTCGAACCGGGGAAACCGCAGGCCGATCCCGCGGCCCTCCTCCAGCTTTCCCAGGGCCCCCTTGTGGGTGGACGACTTGGACAAATCCGCGGCCTTGACCTCCCAGACCTGGACCGCGTCGAACCAGACGTCCGGCTCGAGGCTTTCCGAGACGACGTACTGGGAGGACTTGCCCCCCTCCAGCTCGTGCTCGCCCAGGGCCTTGGACAGGGACTGCAGATCCTCGTCGGAAAAGCCCGTCCCGATCTTGCAGACGCTCTGGAACTCCTCCGTGTCGGGATCGTAGCAGGCCAGCAGGTAGGCCCCGTAKACCCCGGTGCGCTTCCCGCGGCCGTAGTAGGCCCCCAGGGGGACCAGGTCGAAGCTGTCCCCCACCCCGTCCAGGTAGTCCTTCTTGAGCTTGAGCCAGTTCAGGCTCCTCCGGGAGGGCTCGTAGATGTCCACCATGGTCTTGACCATGAGTCCCTCGCACTGGCCCTTGACGGCGGCGTCCAGGAACTGCTCCAGGACCGTCGTGTCGCCGTCCTCCCTGGCGTCCAGGTACTTGGCGAACTGGAACCTGCCCTCCACGGGGGCAAAGTGCGTCTTGAGGAGCTCCCGCCGCTCCTTCAGGGTCTTGCCAAGGAGGGACTTTCCGTTCAGGTACATGAGGTCAAAGGCCTGGACGATGACCTGAACCTTGGAGGTCTCCCCCTCGTCTACCGTCTTTTTCCGCGTCGACAGGACCTGGAAGGGCACCAGCTGGCCCTTCTCGTGGTCGTAGGCCACCACCTCGGCGTCGAGGACAAAGGAATCGACCGCTTCTTTGCCTTGGCCTTCGCCGGCTTCCTTGCGGTTCGCCGCCGCCGCGGCGGCGGCCTCCTGGACAAAGAGGGGGACCTCCGGGTACTTGGAGGAGGTTTCCAGSAGGTTCCGCGAAAAGACCTTGAGGCTCCCGTCGCTGGTTTTGTGGATCTGCGCCCGCTCCCCGTCGTACTTGTACTCGCAGGTGAATTCCTGGCCGTCCAGCCGCTTGAGGACCTCCTGGATGGACTTGGTCGGCTTGGCGAGCATGGGCTCGACCGGGATGCCCGGCTGGAAGTGGCAGCGTTTGTGGAGGTCGGAGAGGGGGACCTCCAGCGCAGCCTCCAGCAGCGCGTCGTAGGAGGGGACCTCGGAGTAGACCTTCTTGATCATGTTGGCGCAGGCCTCGAGGGTCTTTTCGACGGGAAGCGACTCGTCCTCCATGGCGGCGACGATGGGATCCTTGTCGGTTTCGCTGCTGGTGTCGTCGTCGTCGTCATTATCGTTATCGTTATCGTTATCGTCGCTGTAGGCACCGTCGTTGTCCTTGTCGTCGTTGCCGTTCTCATTGTCATTGTCATTGTTATCTTTCTCGTTGTCATCTCCGTTGTCGTTTTTTTCGCCGCCGTTTTTGTCATTGCTGCACCCCCCCACCTCCACCGTGGAGGGAATCGTCATGGCCAGGGCGTGGGCCAATGCCACCAGSACCGTCGACTGGGCCAGTCCGATCCGCAGCTTTCCCTGCAGGCCCCGGATCAGGAACTTGGTCTCGGTCGAGTCCCTGGCCGCCACCAGCAGTTTCTTGATCTTGCCGACCTTGAGCTTCTGCGAGGAGCTCCCCGATACGGCCGCGATCTCCCGGTAGACGGCCAGGACRGCCTCCATCGTGAGGGGCTTCGGGCGGGCCCCAAAGCCGAGGGTYCGCTGCCTGGACTTGCAGGAGCGGGCCACCAGGCCCAGGTCCCCCATCTCCCGCAGCTCCTCCTTGATGGTGGCCGGCTTGGAACCGTAGGCCTCCGAGATGGCCTTGACCAGGAGGGAGTCCCCGATCCCGAGCTCGACGCACTCGTAGGCCGGGGCGACGGCGTTGCAGGAGAGGTAGACCGCGGCCGAGAGGTCCACCGGAAGAATCCCGAACTTTAGGATGCGCCGGAAGAACCCCGTGGCCATGGCCTGGATCTCCAGGCGGCCCGAGACCCCCTCGATGCGCTCCAGGAGCTCAGCGAGGTCCCCGTAGGGGACGATGCCGGTGCCGGTGCTGGCCGCGGGCCTGGCCCTGGAGTTCACCGGCGCCAAAGTGGGGCGGGGAAAGCCTTTCGTGATCTCCGCGTCCACCTTGTAGGCCTTGGCGAGTTTTCGCGCCCTGCGGACGAGCCTTCGCTTCCCGGGGCTCATGGAGGCGTCGTCCTTGTCCATGTCCTTGTCGTTGTTTTTGTCGTTGTCGTTGTCGTTATCGTTGTCCGCCCCACTCGTGTCCTTCGTTTCGGTGGGTTTTCCGCCTTTGGTCGGGACGGAATGCTTGGTGTCCTCGCCCCCGGATGCCCCCGTCGTTGTTTTGGTGGGTTCTGTGGCAGAGTCGCTCTCTTTGGGCTTTGGTTTGGGTTTGGCAAAAAAGGACGAGGCGGAGGCGGAGGTTTTCTTCGTTGTCGTGGCCTCGGTGTTTTCCTTCTCCTCTTTCTTCTTGTTGTTGTCGCTTGGTTCGGTCGTGTTGTGTTCGKGTTTTGTTTTTTTGTTMGGTTCCGAGGACGGAGACGTTGGCGACGATGCGATCTTCGTCTCTGCGTTGTTCTCCACCGCGTCCTTCATTTCCTCGTCGTGGTCGTTTTCGCTGTTGTCGTTTCTGTTGTTGCTGTTGTCGTTTCTGTTGTTGCTGTTGTCCTTTTCCTCGTCCTCGTCCTCGTCCTTTTCCTTGTCGCTGTCGCTGTCGTCGATGACGAGGCGGCGCCTCTGTTTCTGGCTGCTGCTCTCATTGCGGGTGGTTCCGTCCGGAGATGCCCGCTTTTTGTGGCCCGTGGGAGGGCCGGTCCGCTTCGGAGCAACTCCCTCCTCCTTGTTTTCGCTGCCATCGGGCACCGTCGGGTTCTTCGGTTTGGTCGCTGCCCTCCCGGCCGGTGCTTCCTCCGCCCCGGYCCCGTTGCCGTCGTTTTCCTTGTCGGCCCTGAAAAAGGACGTCAGCGTCTTTTGTTTCTTGGGCTTGCTCTTTCCGGGCACGCCAAAAAACGAGTGGAGGCTCGATTGCTGTTTCGGCATTCTCTGTGGGTTGCTCGTTGGGTTGCTCGTTGGGTTGCTTCCGTGCGTCTCCGCTTCTGCTCCCTGCGGTGCGATGGAACGGTACTGGTACGGTTCAGTGTGTGCCGTTCGTGCCGATGCTTCTGTGCCGGGCACCAAGGAACGATTGTGGCAGCGGGAGGAACGCAAATGCGAAACCGCACGGTACAGTACCGTACCAGGCAAGTACAAGTACAAACCAAGAGGTGGTAAGATTTTTCGCTGCTTCCCCTGCTGTGCGGATTCCGTACAGTTGGTAGGCCCCCCTGGGTAGGCCGTCGTATCATGCCAAGGGTTTCCAAACAATGCGTTGTACCACAGTATGGGGAACCAGTACGAGTATTCGTACGATGCGGTGCCATTGCCTAGTTTGGGCACGCTGCATCGGTTCTGTACGAATAAAGCATGTACGTTAGGCTTCCAACACTTCCTCTACGGTATGTATGTGCCTGGTACTGGTAGTAGATGTTGGCATGCCGATTTCGTTTGGCGCGCGAAAAATTTGGCGCGAATCCGCTGTTGGTACAGTGATGGGTAGGTATTCTACGATAAACTTACAAGCAGAGGTTGATTACGGCTAAGTGGTTTAGCGCTTTCCCGGTCCAGCTAAAACGAAGTTGGTTGTGTGAGGCTCAATCCCGAATAGATAGTGAATAAACTCACTCTTTATTGTAAACACGTAGTTATGCAACACTAAAGAGCACACGTACATTTTGCAGGTTATGAGCCCAATGTCGGCTTTTCCATTATGTAAGGTAAACACGGGGAGTTCCCCCTTGGGGGAACCCAGGGGTGTTATGGCAATTTACGAAAATTTACCATTACGTGCGAGTACGTACTTGTTGCCTCATGCTTACAAACGTACCGTACTGTACCGTACGAGATTTTCGTGAACTTCGTAACCATGTGCTCAGAATTCACAGGGTCCTGTGGTTGTCGAGAAAGTGTGCATAGAGTTTTGCGTCGCACGCGTGCCCAAAAGTGGCGTAATCTTTTCCAACCGCCTGGTACTCTTTTTTCTTCTTCTGTGGATACGTCGAACACAGTCCGACAATGATATTTCGAAACTATCATTGGGGACAGTAGCTTCATTTAATACCCTCACCCTGGATTTATCACTCGCTGGTGGATCACTTAATGCACTTAACGCACTTAACGTGCTCAGCTTGGTTGCTGGAAGAGCTGCTACCGGTACGAGTCGGTATGTCGAACACATTCAGGCAATAATATTTCGAAACTATCATTGGGGACAGTAGCTTCATTTAATACCCTCACCCTGGATTTATCACTCGCTGGTGGATCACTTAACGTGCACAGGTTCGTTGCTGAACAACGGGTGGGAAGGTGAAGCATCCCATGATTCAAATTAACGCACTTAACGTGCTCAGCTTGGTTGCTGGAAGAGCTGCTACCGGTACGAGTCGGTATGTCGAACACATTCAGACAATAATATTTCGAAACTATCATTGGGGACAGTAGCTTCATTTACCACCCTCACCCTGGATTTATCAATCGCTGGTGGATCACTTAACGTGCACAGGTTCGTTGCTGAACAACGGGTGGGAAGGTGAAGCATCCCATGATTCAAAAACGGTGCTTTGTTCTGATGGAACCAAAGCACCGCTCGTATGGCAAGATTACGGTGTACCGTACCGTACATACATTGAATTTTGTGGCTTTTGATCGAAAGTCTCATTAAAACAAAAATACGAAGTTGTATTCAATTTTCTTTACTTTTGATATCATAGTCATGAAACTCTCACGATTTGCATTGGCAACGTTTCTGTTGGTGGAGGGCCTCTCGATGTGCAATGGTAACAGTCCCTGCTCATCCAAATGCCCTGGTGTACGAACAACAGTAACAACGAAAGATGAATTGCAAAACTCTATAGAAGACTTGAGTTCTGAGCTTAAATGGCTGGATATAGAATGTCTTGATGTCGGACAGATTGAGAACATGGAGGGGCTATTTGGTATTCTTGGTGAGCGCCTTCCAAGCCTAGACTTGCGTTGCTGGGATGTGTCCCGTGTGACCACAATGAAGGAAATGTTTCATGGAGCCACGTTTTTCAACGGAAGAGTTGAGGATTGGATCACCTCAAAGGTGGAGGACATGTCTTCTATGTTTTCTGGAGCCACGGAATTCAACCGAGACCTTTATGATTGGGACACCTCAAAGGTGGCGAACATGTCTTCTATGTTTTCTGGAGCCACTAACTTCTACGGATACTACATTACTAAGTGGAACACCGCAAACGTGGAGGACATGTCTTCTATGTTTTCTGGAGCCACGAGCGTCAACATAGACCTGTACTGGAACACCGCAAAGGTGACGGACATGTCTTCAATGTTTTCTGGAGCCACTAAGTTCAACGGATGGCTTAGTACGGACGATGGTTGGAACACCTCAAAGGTGTTGGACATGTCTTCTATGTTTTCTGAATCCCCTTACGACGGATGGAGGATGAAATGGGACACCTCATCGGTGACGGACATGTCTTCTATGTTTTATGGAAACACTATCTTCAACACAGACGCGGGTCATTGGAACACCTCATCGGTGAAGGACATGTCTTCTATGTTTTCTGGAGCCACAAAATTCAACTATGGACTGGATTCTTGGAACACCTCATCGGTGACGGACATGTCTTCTATGTTTTATGGAGCCACGAGCTTCAACTATGGACTGGATTGGAACACCTCATCGGTGAAGGACGTGTCTTCTATGTTTTCTGGAGCCACGGAATTCAACGGAGACATTGAGTATTGGGACGTCTCATCGGTGACGGACATGTCTTCGATGTTTTCTGGAGCCACGGAATTCAACGGGAGCATTGATGATTGGGACGTCTCATCGGTGACGGACATGTCTTCGATGTTTTCTGGAGCCACGGAATTCAACTATAACCTGGATTGGGACGTCTCATCGGTGAAGGACATGTCTTCTATGTTTTCTGGAGCCACGAAATTCAACGGGAGAGACATTGATGATTGGGACACCGCAGAGGTGACGGACATGTCTTCTATGTTTTCCGGAGCCACGGAATTCAGCGTAGACATTGATGATTGGGACACCTCAAAGCTGACGTCCATGGCTTCTATGTTTGTTGGAGCCACTCAAGTGAATTTAGATTCCTCCTCCAGCAGCAAATGGGGAAGTGGGGCATTCGAATCCCCAGAAAAGTTCGACAAATTTGAGCTTAGGAACCACAAATTGGTAGGCGTGGACAAGAACGTTCACATACCTTCCTTCAGCGAAAGCSCTCTCAAAGCGTTCGTTCTTTTCGAGTATCTTCGAAAACCAGACGRTTCGGGATTGGACTACGAATTAAAATGGGACTTGCAAATAGGAAACTGTAATGATGCATCATCCACGGYAGGAGCGGAAATACCGCAGGATAATCTTTCCAGCATTTGGCAAGTTGATGATGGAGTCAAGAAAGTTTATTATGCAACAGAACAATCGTCAGGAGAAGAAATTATGTTGAGGCCAAACGCCGCCAAGGCAGGTGTTCAGGTTGGTGAGTGGTATAATCTATGCATGCCAACGGTTTTCAAGCCAGCAAAGTCTTCTCGTTATCTAACTCTCTCCCTCTCTYGTGCTGCTTATTGATGACATTCAGGAAAAGTCCCTTTCGAGTTGGTTGAATCTGGTCCACATTGTACGTAACTATATTGTGATTTTTGAACGCTCGATCTATACATTCTGGTGGGTAGCTGATTGTCTTGTTTTTGCTTCTTTTTGTGCCATGCAGGTCTCAGAATTTTCTACCAGCATTTTGGTACCGTGGTCTCTCATCTTCATTACGAGATAACTGTGACAAAAGAAGGAAAATTCACTGGTGTCACAGTTGACGTTGACAGCTCAAGTGCTTCCGTAGATGCGGAGGTGAAGGAAGAGGAGGATGTTACAGCAACTGTGTGCGGAGGTCCGACCATTTTCAAGGTTGGTCAAGAGTTTAGCGTCTGCGTGGGAACTCCAGGTAATGACTGCAAGAATGGTGCATCCGAGAAAAAACTTTTTGATGAAGCCGGTGAAATTGTAGACCTGCTGACCAGCTTTGATCTCGAAGCCAAGAAATTCACCAGCGTTGTCACCACAGGATTGGTTGAGGGCAACAACAATCAGTTTGAATGCACGGGTCGTGTGGTACTCCAGAGGGCACGCGTACGCCGTGATCTCCAGGCCTCAGAGGAGAACGCAGAGGATCTCTTTTCTGTGCAGATTCCCATCGCTGCTTGGTCCGATGGTGTGGATGCTGGTGTGGATGCGCTGGGGATCGCCGCACCTGGTGTTGCTGTAGGACCCTTGGCCGTTGGAACCGCTGGAGCCATTGCTTTTGCTGCCGCATTGTTGTAAGACTGAATAAAGATATGAGAGTTAAGAGGAGTGAATTCCGGACAGAGGCCGAGATTATTAGAGCTAGGAGGAGAGCTCATATTTCAATGAAATAGAGAATAAGATAGAGAACACTTTATTTGCTCGACAACAGACTTACTGTTTGCAACAACAAAATAATAGTATTGAGTTAATGATGTCCCTTTTTTTAAAAACCTTTATTGTTCCACAAATCCGACACACATTCGGACATCTCTTTCCAATCGTTACACGGAAGTTTTAACCTTTGTGAACAGAATTCTGATCTTTGTTATTCCTCCTGTTTTTTGCTCGCGCGCAACTTGCAAACCTCGAACCACTTTTTTTCCACAACCAGAAGGACCCTGCAAATTCCGAGCACACGGTTAAAAACTTCAAAGAAAAGTGCGTGTAACTAATTAAAAAAGAAGTCGGATGGTCCATCCGATTGTGCATGCTTGAAATTCGGTTCCCACTTACTTAACAGGGAAAAAAATGGAGAACCGGGTCAGAAAGAGATGGCTTGCGCGTAGGGGGGCACGTGCCGGTCGGAAAAAGGACAGAC